GGCCCCTCACAGCTAGACTCAATGAAATTACTTCATGCCATCACACAAATGCCTCTGATATACTAGATGCTGAGGTGAGACACCTGTATCTTAATATAAATTAATTCAACCCAAGTGTTTCCATTCTCATGTTACATGGGGTTTAAGGAAGGTAGGTACTTTTGGAACAGAGTATCTGGGGATAAATGTATAAGAAAGAGAGCACATAGTCAAAACCACAGTAGGACACTACAAAGGGAGGGTGAGGAGGAGATGGAAAGGATTCAAAACGATTTCCCCTATTTTAATTTAAGAGACTGGTTCAATAGCTAAAGATTATTACAAATGAGCTAGGCTCTGGGCTAGTCAAAAAAACTCTAACAGCTCTGTGGGAAATGTCCCTTTACTAACCTAAGCTAAGTTCTGGGAACACTGTCCCTGTGCCATGTTGGAGAGTGCTGACAAAAACCTAACACGATCCTGAACTCTAGGGATCCGGTGACACAGGTGAACATCCAACACCTGACTACACACACACAGCCGATCCCCAGGTCCTCACTTCTCTCTCCACTTGATTTTACTACATGGTGACAGAAAGCTGGCGCTGAGCTTCAGTTTTATCGTCACTCACCTGGTAACACTGCAGACATCTAGACATTATCTCAAGTGCCTCAGGTTTCACAGCCAGACTGGCTGAGGGGATCCTTCATGGTATCAAGTTACTGGACTCGACTTCAACACATTTCAGTCTCTGTCTCTAGTTCAGACTGTCAGCCTCCGCCAGAGGACGGCTCCACTGTGGCTGTTTAGATTCTTAGCTATACAGCAGACAAGCAGCCTCTGCACGTCTGCAGAGACCTTCTGTGTTGCTTTGGGAGAACACTTGTGCCTAGCAAGTGCAAGCTGACGGTTGTAGACACTACTGAATACCGAGCCAACTAGAAACTTTCTCCCTAGACTACAGTTCATGACAAGACAAGGGCAATAGCTGAGTGGAAGTGATGGACTGATCTTAGTGGGGGCTGAAAATTCAACGTGCTAGTGCCTGACTCATACATTCCTGCAAGTAGGTTGGTTTTGTCTTTGTGGTTCAAGTTTTTTTTTTCTCAAAGATTTTCCTCAAACCTCAAGAATAATCAAGTATTTCTTTTTTTTTGAATTTTTTTTAAGATTTATTTATTTATTATATATACAGTGTTCTGTCTGTCTGTCTGTCTGTATGCTTGCTGGCCAGAAGAGGGCACCAGGTGGCTGTGAGCCACCATGTGGTTGCTGGGAATTGAACTTAGGACCTCTGGAAGAACAGTCAGTGCTCTTAACCTCTGAGCCATCTCTCCATCCCTCAAGTATTTTTTACAATAAATTTCTTTTTCAACCAGTCAGTTTCTGTTCTGGCATATTTCTGTATGCTCCCTGCATCCTGCCCTGCCTTTCATGCTTATCCTTCATATGTGAGATACCTCAAGCAAGGCTTTCATTACTGTACCAACACACAATCTCTTCCACAGAAGCAGCTTGCTCACTGGCTGTCTCCATGTGCAAGGCATGGTTAAATGTATCTGAACACATGGGTACTCAAGATAAAGCCCCACTGTCTAGTAATAAGGAAACCCCCAAAGCTGATTTTAATGTGTTAAATATCTTGATGGAGAGAGAAGTTTGATGGCTGGTGTGCTTCTCAGGAGTGCAGAGGGAACTCAGGAGCCGTCTTGTTGTAATGCTTTGTTAAGATGAAAAGAATGGATAATGTCACAGTGCCCTCTATCCTAGTTAAAACAAAGGAGGCTAAAACACAAAATCTTTAATAAAAGGCCTTTAAGTCTCTATAGACATCTGTATTCAGACTACTTTTAAAATTCTTTAGTTACCTCCTGTGACTTTTCCCTGTTTCTGTCCTAGAGACACAAATCTGCCCACCTCCACTCCACCACTCAACCTGAACCATCCTAGATTGTGATAAACTCCTTTTCCAACTCAGCTCAAGTTCTACTCATTGGGAATCCCTTAGGGCTGGACATTCCCAGCCAACATCCCGAGTTCGTATGGAGAAGTCCTAACCTCTGCACCTCAAAAGGCAATCATATTTGGGGCTGAAGTCTTTACACAGCTAATTAAATTAAACTGTGCCTTAGTCCAATAAAACCGGTATCTTTAAACAAAGAATTAGAACAGAGACAAACATGGAGGGAAGATCCTATGAAGATATAAGAAGATGCTGTCTACAAGCCAAGGGCAGAGACCCCAGAAGACACCTGGCCTGCCAACAACATCTTTCCAATTTCCAGTTTCTGTAACTGTGTTGTTTAGGTCACTGGTCTATATACTAAATTAAAGCAGGTCAGAAAACATAGCCATTAACTTACTTGAGCTTAGAACAAGTAAACCAAATCCAGTGTGGCACATTTCTACACCCAGCACCTGGGAGGCTGACATAGGAGGAGGATGAGTCCAGGCCAATGTGGGTTACAAACCCTTGTCATCCTTTGCCACACTGAACAGGCACACCACTACATTGTGTTTATTCACTGTCGTATGCTAGCTGGCTGTGTGTCCCACTAGGATTGCAAGCTCTTTAAAGTCCAATACATTACTTCTGACACTCCCCATGATGCCCGACTTGGAATCCTACAGAATAAATATGTGATTATTTTCTACTCTCTACTCAAATTATGGAGTAAAAATGAAGCTCTTTGATTGCTTTCTCCAAATAAAGTTGGCCACTTTACTGCCCTGTTTTAGACTACAATTTGTTTAAATTATTATTTTCTAGAAAAACCCAAACTACAGACTAGCACACAGGCTTCTCTAATGTCAGTTCTCTCTGTACCATACCTGGGTGTCACTCCTTACCAAGTAATCCATAAACCTGCATTTCCAGTTTCTGAAACCTAAAAGTAACTTCTACTTCTCCTTTACTTGGCCACCGTGGAACTACAAAGCTTTTGCAATTTGCCAACAGCAATACTACATTCCTCTGCAATAATGCCCTAGTGATTTCAATGCATCAGCTTTTGTATGTGGAGACCTCAGAAGATCCCACATGCTCCCCTCAAAAAGTCCCTGTTTTCATCTGTGAATTCCTAGCACCAGGCTTGACAGGGGTCTACCAAGCAGAGAAAGTTCACTAGACTTCTCACCTTTATCTTTTCAGAGCCCTGTAGAACCCAGCACAGGGCATTTTCTAAGTTTTTTTTTCTGAACTTTCGTAGTTACACTAGCAATTGAATTATGATTCCACCTGTATCTCTGCTCAGACTTCCTCAGACTTCAGTCCCTGGCTGCCTTACGAACAGATCAATTTCAGTTATCCCACTTGTCCTACATGGCACTGTGATCCACACCCTCACCCCTGCTTGTCTTCATACATCGCCTCCTTAGTTTGGGGTGATGTCAGCCAGGTCTCTTCAGGCAGAAAGGTATTTTCTTTCCTTTGCCCTCTGGCCAGTTTCTGATACCTGTAAATCCAGTCCTCAATCAGCTCTAGTACAGGGACAACTAAAATGGCTTCTCAAGTTATCACCTTGTCTGGAGATCCCTTTTGTTGCTTTTAGTGTTCCCATACCTAACTTCCCCCACTACATAATACTGTCAATTCCTTGAGGGAGAGCTTCTATTGACAATTTCTATTTCCTCCCTATACTTTCACTAAATAAAAATGCTATATTGATAAGTGGATAGGCTGAATCAGAGTCACTTTTAAGTAAGCCAAATTTCTTCTTTAACGCCAATATTTAGGGGTAAGGTTAAGGATAATGACTAATTGCCAGACATGGAGGAGTGTTTTCGGTGGAAACGCTAACATGGATTAACCTATTTTTGGCCCTTTTAAACAAGGTGGAGAAGTTCATGAAACAAATCCAGGAACTCATGACTCAGGGTCATGCTGATGAACAATCACCGGACTATGCTGTAACACAGATGTCTGAGGACGTAGAGGAGTTTGGAGCTTATGCACCAACGCAAAAATTCCAGGCTTCGGAGGGCTGCTCAGTGTCCCTCAACACCGCACCCTGTGTCAGGCAACCTCAAGGAGTATCTGTCTAAAGCTCCCAACAAAGTGCTGAAGTGTGTGGTTCTCCAGCACCCAGGGTCTCAGGGATGCACAGCGCACGGTTCTTTGATTACAAGGTGCGTTCTCTTCAGAGGGACACTCAAGGTGCTCCTGATAACCAGGCCTGGGAGACGGAAGGGCTGCAGGGAGGTCTTCTGCTCTAAGTCCCTGGGCGAGGAGGGTCTTTCTGGGGAGGGAGAGGGATGGCAGGGGCTCAGGAGGTGTCTGCGGGGGAGCTGAACGACAGGCTGTCACGCTCCAACCGCGGCAGGTGCGGGGTGCTGCCCGGCTACCCGGTCTCGAGCGCGCGCGTGCCGCCGGGCCCGCAGTGTGCACCACTGCCTGCAGCGGCGTCTCAACGGTTCTGTGGGGGCGCGCGCCCCGATTGCGCTCCCTAGCTACCCAGGCCACCCGGGCTAGGGTTAGCAGCTCAGCGGGCCGGAGGCCGAGCATGCGCAGGAGCGAGGGCGAGGCCAACTGCGGGCATAAAGCATGCGCAGTGTAAAGACACACTCGGCTACGTGGGAGTCTGAGCATGCTCCGTGAGGACCGCGGTCCCGCGCACGCGTAGAAGGGCCCGGCGCCCGCAACCCTCTGGTGGAGGAAAAAAGGAGAGAAATCACCTCAGAGTTACGTCAGGAAAGGCCGCGTTTTGCGGGGAGGCCGTAGCCCCGAACAGGGCCCGACGTCCTCCTAGGGCGCGGGACGTGACGGCTACTCACCGCTCTTCAGCCCCGGGGCAGGCGCCGGGCCCCTCTCCTCTCACACTCGGCTCGAGCAACCCGCAGCCGCCGCTGCCGCTGTGATTCCATCCATCTTGAATTTGACGTCATCCCACACCAGGGATGAGGTCATCGCAGGCAGCGCTCGTCACGTGCGCGGCGCTGGGATTGGGTGCCGGGCGGCGGAGGGCGGGCTGGGGGCGGGCCTGCGGGAGCACGGCCGCGTTGGGTCCCGAGCGTGGGTGCTTCTCCGAGGAGGTGCAGCGACGAACAGTGGAGCTCGGGGACGCCCCGAGGGTAGGTGGCGGTGTGGGAAGCCCCTGAATTCGGAGCTATCGGAAAGTGGCTCATTTCCATTTCTTCCTCCTGGAAAGAGCTGTAGTGAACAAATTGAGCTCTCAGGCTTCGCCCCCTTTCAGATCAGCAGTTTCTCGTATTCACTCTGTGGCGTCTGCCTATCAATCACAGATTCAAACCTCTCCCTTTTAAAACGGTGTCGTAGCTGGGCGAGGTGGTTTATGAAAGTAATCCCAGCACAAAGCAGGCTGACAGGCTGAGGCAGAATTCTGTTACAGAGTGAGACCGTTGTCTCATTAAAGAGAGAGAGGGAGGGAGGGAGAGAGAGAGAACCCACACAACTCTTTCGACAACACCAATTCTCTTTTAGCTTCTTTGTATGAAAAATTACAGTTCCATTGTCAGATGACATTGTATTCAGCCAAAACCAGACAGCTGGGTAACAAATGCCAAACTGCAAATCACAGCTGTGAAGAAAGGGACTTCCGGCCACAGGACAGCAGGACAGTTCTCTAGAGACTGGAACATAGCAACAGACAGTCTCACCAAGAGGCATTTCTAAAACAGACCTTAAAAATGCCTAGCTCTTAAATTAGGTGTCCTAAATTTTAAGAAGCATGTGATTTTCAAATCTACTTCTGAAGGTGGGTTTTAGCCACATGAATCAAAGTAAAATAGCTTTATGAAGTGTGTGAGAAATATGTGGGAGAAGGAATCTTGAATTAGGGTTGATCCAAGTGAAAAAAAAAGTCTTCAAATAAATAGTTTTGAATATTTTAGTTTCTTTAGTTTCAAGACTTTAGAATTTCACCCTTAAGTTTTCGATCATTCAAGGGTTTTAAAAAAATGTCTTTGTATTTTGAAATGCTTAGCAGTTAAAGCAAGAAGTTTTGTAAGATGGCTTTCAGAAGGTCACTTGTGATGACGCTGTTAATATGCATCATTGCCCCTCTTTTTCAGGCTAGAAAATCATTGCATTGCAGAGCCTGAGGTCCAGATAAAAGCCAGACTTATTGTTTTTGTTTGTTTGTTTTTAACCACCTGGAGTGCAAAGCAGCCTCTCTCTGTTTCCCAGCTAGCTGCAGCTCATTTGCCCTGTCTCCATGCCTGCTGCCTGTACACTTGGTGCCTCCATGTTCAGCTATGGTTGCCAGTTCTCTGAATCTGACATAACTTTCCCAAATACAAAAGAAACTTTTGGATCTTTCAGGTGACCTCTGGCATGTAATATTTGATCTGTTCCTTCTTTGGACCCAATGGCAGCAGCTATGTCACTTTGCCCTGGGTTTCCTGCCCCCGACTTGCACCTTATTGGCCTTCTGTGCTGTTTCCTCTGCCTTGTGCCCATCCCTACACTTTGGATTTCTGAGGGCTGTGGCCTTGCCTGTCCTGTTACATTTACTCTGTGCCACTTCATCCGTGGCAGGGAAGATGCTCTGGCAATGCAGTCAGTCACTTTAAGCACTACCCCCTGTGAAACACACACACACACACACACACTTTATAACTGCTCTTGCAGCCTCCAGGTTTTACTCCACCCTGACTTTGCAACCAAACAAGTCTTTTAAAATGTTCTTTTGCTCCAGTGTTAACACTGGGTTCTCCATTGCTTTTAGGTGAGAGTTAAACTTTATCCTAGTGTGGCCCATATTTATGTTGTCTCTCCTCTCAGCTCACCTCGGAGCTTCAGGTGTCTTGCTTCCTCCACTGGAACTAAACTGTACCTTCTACCCTGTCCTGTTGCCTGCAATTGCCCTGGGATGCTCCCACTTCTGCCCTCCTGCGATCACTTCAGCTTTGTCCTGGGATTGACGCTACACCTCTGTGCTCAGTAGTGTCTTTTGTAGGGGTTGACTGTGACTTCCCGTATGTACCATCGGATTTGTTTCCGATATGCCTGCCTCTGGACTGAAATAGAAGTAGAAGTCCATTATGATTCTACCCCTTGATAAGCACTAAAGTGGGATCTCTAGCTCTGCCTCCATGTACATGTTTATACACACATTGTTTACTTAACCACCTCATCAGGAGTTACCACTTGAATGACCCCTACCCATGGGTTTCACAAGCTGGAGTCCATGAAGGGGATTCCGAGATGAATTTATTTGCTCTTCCTATTTAAAGGGGCTGCTGCCTGCTCTACTGCCCAATTGGAAACTTGGGATTCCTTTTCAGTTTCTGCCTTCAGCTGTCACTAGGTCTTATCAGGTTACCCTCAACTATCCCTCAGGTCTTCCCTCACTGGCTCTAACTCTTCTCTTCGTGGGTTCCAGTCCTAACTCTGGCCAGTCTGAAGCTACTTGACCTATTTCTGATTCTCCTTCCCCCAGTGTATTGTTTTTAGCTGAATGCATCCTTTTAAATGCATGTCTTATGAACTTGTACTCAGGTACACTCTCCCTTGGCATCCAGTGGTCTGCTGCCTCAGCAACCCCAGGCATGGCTGCTTGGCTTTCTGCTTGTCCTACACCAGTGCTCACCACCCCTTTCCAAGTACTCCTTACCAGCTCCCTGCTCCCTCTACATAGCAGACCCACATTCTCTCTCATGGTCAAACCACAGCCTCCTTTATGCTTCAGTTGCATCTCTGTAACATCTGTGCCATCTCTTTCTGGCTGTTTGAAGGCCCTTTACTTCCCTAGCATGAATGTTCCTTTGGTATTGAGACTGCCTAGTAACCTGGGTGTTCCCAGACCTTTGGGCTCGTTGCTAGGGCTGTGTCCTGGCCCAGTTGCTCCCCATGGCTAGAGTTTTCCCTCAAAAACTGGGTTACAATGCTGTATAATGCTGTGGTGTAATAAAATTCTGTCTGAATTTCTTGTGCTAAACAAACACGTTCTTCTTGCAAACTGGGGGAGGCACTTTTAGGTGGAGTTTAAACGAATTTCTGCAACTTTGCAAGTGGAAGAGTTTACTCAGTTACGCATCTCTTAAATATCACTTCACTTTGAACACATACCTAGACATCTAAGTTTGCCCAACTTGTGGTTTGAGTAGTTGTTCCTCTAAAGAATTAGGCTGGGATAGAGGGTAGAGGTGGTAATATTAGTGTCTTGTAATTGCTGTGATAAAGTACCCCAAACTTAGAGGCTTTTTGTAGGTTAGTCACAGTTCAGGAGGCAAGTGTCTGAAGTTAGTACCATTAGACTGAAGTCTTGTGTCTGCAGGGTCCTGTTCCCGTGGGCGGTACTGGCACAGTATCCTAATAGCCTCTCTACTTCTGGTGGCTACTGGCAACTCTGCCTATAGCTATGTCTCTGAAGCCTTTGCCTCCACCATCAAGTGGGCTCTCCTGTCTGCCCAGTCTTTCTCTGCCTCGTATAAAGATATCTGAAGAGGAATTCCCCATCCCCATATCTCAGCCTCCTCAGCTCAGATCCAGGTAGGCACAAAACCCAGGAGACTTGCATCATCATGGTTCCTTTGACATGGGTGAAATTGGATTGAATTAAATGTTTATTTCATTGCTGAGAAGGCTGGTCTTTAAAAATAGCATACACATAAAAGAGGCTGGAGAGATGTTACTACCCTTTCAGAGGATCTAGTTCAGTTCTCTTTACCCATATCATGCTTCTCACTATAACTCCAGTTCTGGGAGATCCAGTACCCTTTGGCTTCAATGAGCATTTACATGTACATAGTACACATAAACTTGCACAGCCACACACACATAAATAATACTTCTTTAAAAATATGATAAAAGAGAATGGATAATAGGCTGAAGGATGGCACCCTAAGAAAACAGCAATCACTACTGTGTCTTTCTCTTTCCCGCAGTATCCAGCCTACTTCTCTTCACCAGCCTTGCTGTACCTGCAAGTCAGCAAATGGCACAACTAATAACTGGATTGCATGGATAACCTTCAGCATTTAGTTAAGTAGGAAGTAAGTGTGTGTGTGTGTGTGTGTGTGTGTGTGTGTAGTAATTCTGGTTATTTGTTTATCATTTTATTTTAAGGTAGTGTCTCATCATATAGTCTAGGCTTACCTCAAACCCAGTTTTCCTGCCTCATTTCTTTGAGTACTGGGATTGCAGGCATAGCCACCATGCCTAACTCTGGTTATGGACTTTGTGCACAATAGGAAGTTTGAGATGGAAGGAAAGAGGATGCAGAACATAATGCCTTTGAACTCGGCACAATAGGGTATCTTTGGGAAACCCCTAAGAATGGGGTTAGGGATGGCAACTCGAGTTTAACTGTATCCACCCTTGCCCTCAACTGTGACTGTGAGCACAGCTATCATACTTAAGTGTAGAAATTCTCATTCCACACACTGAAAAAGTGAGGCTCACAAAGACGGGCATGAGAACATTGAGTGAACCCATTCAGGATAGTCAAGTTAAGCTACTCTGAGAACATTTCAGATTCATGAGGTTAAATGTATTAACCTAAAAGCCCATCTTTTCCCTGATGGGAAAGATGAGTTTAGAGTACAACACTCTTTTCTTTTTTCTTTTTCTTTTTTTTTTTTCGAGACAGTGCTTTGGAGACTGTCCTGGAACTAGCTCTTGTGGACCAGGCTGGCCTCGAACTCATGGAGATCTGCCTGCCTCTGCCTCTTGAGTGCTGGGATTAAAAGCGTGTGCCACCACTACCTAACTGAGCACAACACTCTTGTACAGTGAATCTGGAAGGGAGAAATATGTGCACAACCAGGAACAAGCTAAAACGAAACACGAAGCACAGAGCTTCCTATTGCAGGGCCTGTGTTTGGTCAGTGACTTGTGGATGAGCTGTTTTATGAAGAGGTATATGGGGACATAGAGCCAGCCCACCTCTTTGTCACTTTCACTTTCCGTCTTCACTTATTTACTAGTCTATTGGGCTTTGGCATTATGAAAATAAATACCTTGAAGATGGTCTCTGCCATCGGGGAACTGGTGTCTTCTCCACAAACAAATACCAGGAGCCTATGCTCTTAGGGCTGTGATTCAGAAGAAATCTGCTTGCCTATTTCAGGAACCCGGACACCAACTGAGCCTGGGACCAGTGATGACCAACCCAGGATTTGTCTTCTGGTGCCTTGGACTGCCTGGTGAAGAAGAACTTGGAACCATCAGTAGCTCTTTCCTGTGCAGTGGCCATACACAAAGGGGTTCAACCTTGTTTCTGGTAGAGGTCATACTGACTTCTGGGTAGACAGAAAGAAGCTGACCATTGCTGTTCTGTGAATGCGGCAGAGTCCTCAAAATGTGTGGCAAAACTAACAGACTCAGTAGAGACACTCATTCAGTCAGTCCCTTCCTGGCAGTCTTTTGGTTGGCAGGGAAGTGACATCACTCCTATATTTCAGCCATCAGCATGTACTGATGCTAAGTGTCCTTGCCCCAGAACAGTTTGAGACCAGAAAGGGGATTGGTTTTGGTTTGACTTTCTTTGGCTTTGTTTTTATTCTTGGAGATTTTAGGGTTTAGCCACCCTTGTGGTGAGAATAATCTGACTGTGGTATTATTGAGAACAGAGATGGTAACTACTGATTGCATCTTCACCAGCATTCACATTCACACTGTAAATATGATGTTTATAGTTTTATTCATGTAGCTCCTAACATTGTACATCTTAGTTCTAGACCTTTTTGTTTTTATGACAGGCTTTCATGAAGCTCATTCTTGTCTCAAATTTGCTGCCACCGAGGAAGATGACCTTGAACTCCTGATCCTTCTGCCTCCACCTTCTGAATGCTGGGCTTATGTGGTGCTGGTGAGTGAACTCATAGCTTTGTATATGCTAGGCAGGCACTCTGGAGCATATTCATTGAAACTAGGTCAAATGACTGTTTCCTATATTAATGAACAGTTTCTACTTCTCCCCTCCTTCTGGGATGTGACTCAGTCAATCTGGCATCAGGTCTCATGTCTCTGATATGTCTGAAATAACTTCTAAAAATAGGTGAAAGCCCCTTTCCCACTTAGCTCCTGAGACAGGCTAATAGGCACGAATGTCCCTGCACTTTGGAAATTGTTAGGAAGAAATTCCTGGCAAACGGAAACCACAGTGACATCATCTGTGGTTCTGCAAAGTCTGTGTGTTGAATTCATTTGACACACTCTTGGCTAGAAGAAGTCTAGAATATCCTAATATTACAAGAAATATTCTCAAGATTTTTTCCCCATACAAAAATCAGCTAGGGTTTTACAGTGAGATGATGTAAGCACGTGCCAAAGCTGCAGAAGGATCAAGACTTGGCCTCTTGACAAAACCTGCTTTCCTGTCAATGCTCAATTCTCCCCTCACCATCAGTGGACAAGAGTGATCACTTGATTCCATCATAATGGTCAAGCTGCAGGAAAAACTAACATGAATTGGTTTTCTTACCCCATTTTTACCCAATGACATGATTCTTGCCACAGTTATTGGGGCAAAGGATGTCTATCTCCCTAAAATACTCATAGAAGCTAAACTGTGGCAGTATTATGGGGGCATTCAGGGTCAGAGCCTGGATCCTGACTGCCCTAACAAGCTTGGTCACCTGTTTTCAAAATCCAATTAAAGAGGCAAGTGTAGAAAGGAAATTTATTCAGTGTCACTGTTCTGGGAGGAGGAACAAAGGTACAGCAAACACACACACACGCACACTCCTTTAGAGTCTGGACAGGCTTAGGTTTAAGTAAAAGAAGGTATGCAGGGCAGGAGAGATGGCTCAGAGGTTAAGAGCACTGACTGCTCTTCCAGATGTCCTGAGTTCAATTCCCAGTAACAACATGGTGGCTCACAGCCATCTGAAATGAGATCTGATGCCCTCTTCTGGCCAGCAAGCATATATACAGACAGAACACTATATACATAATAAATATGTTTACATGCTCATAAAAAATACGAGCAGACCTAGTCAAGGTGTAATCCTGCCTCATTTTCCCATCATTGCCTCACCCCCATTGTCTTCTGCAAGGGGGTCCGACAAGTTGTCAGAACTCTGTGAAGTCTGTTCCTTCTCTGTCTGGCCTCTGGCTTTTCCTTCTTCAGCAGGAGACTCCTGAGGAAATTCCAGTTTCTTGTGGACACCCAAAGGGTGGGACACACATCTCTTTAGAACACCAACATTTCTTCCATGATGGTTAGAGTACTAAGTACCGTCTGTAATTCTCTACTTTGAACACTATCTACCTGGGACTAGCACACGATTCCTGAGTTTAAGGGCTCTGACCCCCAAACTGTCCACCACTTTCAACCAATTACAAACTCCAGGTTCCAACCCATTCTTCTAATGGCAGGTTAGAATAGTATATTGGAGTTCCACATCCCTGTCCTAAGGTGTTACTGGTGGAATGGTTCATAAAACCCTGAGGAAGACTTATTTACATTTGCAGTTTATAGCATAGCTAAAGAGTTTTAAATACAGATGAGAGCCCAGCATCCAGTTCCCTCTGTAGGCACTTTTATATTATAGGATAAACAATAGTAACAAAGCTGGATAGGGTTTACCTTGTAGCTGATCTTAAGGCCACATTATTTTAATCCCTTTTGCTGCTGGCTGATTTTCCTTCTCCCCATTACAGAGCTGGGGCTAGTGTGCTGACTGAGGACAGAGAGTCTTAGAGGACACTTGATAGAAACATGGTTGTGTTTAAATAGGGGGAGAGGGAGCCCAACTTCCAAATTCAGCTTCTCATTGAGTTCAAACAGTATCCGACGATTACCAATATAATGTTCCTTACAAAAGGACACAGAAGAAGAGAGGGATGCGGGTGACGCATAGGGGAGGGGAGACACTTATCTAGACAATCCCCTGAGATCCCACCTTCTATGAACCTCTATTAAGTTCTCGTCTTTTGAGTTGGTATGAAGGCTTCTCACAAAGGATTGACTTACTCCAGAAGGCTTTATTGTAGATATGAGGGAAAGCACAGAGGCATTTGGAAGAGTACAGAGTGAACATGGCAAGCAGAATAGATGGGTCGTGAGGAGAGGGTAGGGGAGAAAAAGAGAGGAAGAGGAAAAAGAAGAACCAAGAGGCCAAGAGAAGGAGTAAGGACCAAGAGAATACATAGGCAAAATGGCTGCGTTATCTAGGAGAAAAGAAGCTGGAGGAAGGGAAAGCAAGCTCATGGGTTGGGGAGGTTTAGGGTAGGGGTGGGAGTGAGAAGTTCTGAGAGGAGGCAGGACTCAGGTAATGGTATCCAGCATTTGCTTTGGTATGTTAATAGGCACCTCAGTTAGCCATTTGTCCAAGGTTGGTCTTAAGCTTCAGTCCATCAGCTCCACCTGGACATTGATGCTGAAATTCCATACCCTCTGGTCCTTTCTTGGTCTTCCTGTGACCTGTCTCAACCCTCAAGCCACTTAAAGGCTGCTAGCCAGCATTCTGCTCACAGTAAACAGAAAGATGACCCTTACCACCTTGAAGAGTCTAAGAATTTAAGGAGCTATATGCCAGGAAACAGGAATAAAGACGGAAGATACATTTGAATATTAAAATCTCTTTGGCATTAAGCAATATGTGTTGTGTTATATATTTATATGTATGAATTTGTGTGCTAGATGCCAGAGTTCAACCACTTTCCATCCCCCCCCTTTAAGACAGGGCCTCACTGTGTAGATCAGGCTGGTCTTGACCTCATAGAGATCACCTGCCTCTGCTCCCCAAGTGCTGAGATCAAATATGTACATACACCACCACATTCTTCTATCTTATTTTTGAGGCAGGCCCTCTCTGGACCTAGAGCTTACTGATTCAAACTAGACTGTCTGACAAGCATGTTTTTCCTGTCTCCACCACCCCACATCTAGGTACTATGTGGGTGTTGGTACCTAAACCAGGTTGTCATGCTTTCACAGCAAGCATTTTATTGAGCCACCTTCTGGCCCTGCCATAATCTCCTAAAAGTAAACCCTACATTTTCTCTTCTGGGTTTGAAGTTAGCTCATCATAATTCAGTATTAAAATGAAGGAGGGGACACTGCAGCTTTAAGTATCTGTTGGTCAGTTCAGGGGCCTACCATCAAGTGACAAAAGAGTCCCAAGCAGCTCTAAAACAACTGCTACAATAAAGTGTCTAGGGTTTGATTGTGAACTGTTTGAGCATGTAATTCCCAGACAGTGACAGTTTTGAAAGACTGTGGAACTTTCAGGAGGCAGAGTCTTATAAGAGGTAGTTGATCATTGAGGGTGAGCCTTGATGGTTTAAATCTGGGTCTCACTTCCTATGTACTCTTTGCTTCCTGTTCTGCCAAGATGGGAGGAGATTAGGTGTCTCAGCTGGAAACTCCTGTCACCATGGAGTGTCACTGTGCCTTTTCACCACACTGGACTGTGTCCCTTCAAAATGACTAAATACACGCTCCCTTAATTCACTGCTTGTCAGGAATTTGACCACAGCAATGAAAAAGATAACTATTGAGAACACCAGTTGCTTGCTTGTTTAGTGGTGGGGACCAAATCCAGGATGCATACAGACTAAACATAAATGCATGCCCAGCCTTGGTTTTCCTAGCAGGTGAAAAGTGATGATCAGAACAGGCCAAAGCGTGGAGAACACAGACAAAACATACATGAGTATTGCATCAAGTATATAAACAAATTGTCAGAGAACAAAGATGTGTGACAATGAAGAGTGCTTATGGAACTGGAAAGGCCTCCAGGTCTAAGGACTGATACTCACTGTCCTGTAAGGAAGCTTCATTCAAAGACAGAAATTAAGGAAGAAGAACAATGAAATTAGCTTTGTTAGGCACAAGTACTGTGCCTGAGATACAGACACACAAATGTATAGTTTACATCAAAAGGCAGAATACACCATGTTGGTGTTGGGTTAGTAGCCTCAAATGCCAGCTCTTCAGCATAGCAACTGGGTGACCCTGGAAAGTGTGAGAACCTACACGGTGTCATCATCAGTGAGAGGGGAAATTGGCAGTCTGCCTCTTAGCTTGTGAATGAGGAGTGAGTGAGACGACAAGGGCCAAGTGCCTAGTACAGAGCAAGCACTGAACCGGAGGCAGTGCTAAGCCATCACAACCTCTACCTTAGAGTGTGACTTGATACGGAAAGACAGTTTAAAAAGTGGTCAGATCTGAAATAAGTTACCATCAAGGTGGATATGATTGTGGTGCACATGGTAAGAGTGGCAGGGTGTGTGTGAGTGTGTGTGTGTGTTGGGGGAGATGAATCTGTACAAGCTCATTCCAGGGAGATGATTCTGATATTTGATTAGAAAATGGTGACTACATTAATTAACTCATGACTGTGTGAAATCACTTGTGAGGAGATAACGCTGTAAGGAGATAAAACATGTTCACTTTCAGGAATGTAGTGCTTACAGAAAAATTCAAAGAAATTCCATACTAACATATAATATTTTAAAGTTGGATGCTAGAAAAGTGTGATGGTTGTTTTCACTGTTAAGTTGATGAGGTTTAGAATTATTGAGGAAATATCCTGCCGTGTCTGCGTTTCTAAAAATGGGTTAACTGAGGTGGGAAGACCACCTGGAATATGAGTGCCATCATCCCATGGACAGGGGCCTGATGGAATGGGATGGAGAAAGTGAGATGAGCACCAGCATTTGTCTCTCTGCTTTCTGACTACAGGACAGCATGACCAGCTACCTCAGGTATCCTGCTGCCATCCCTTTCCTGCCACGATGGACTGTGAACTAAAGCAAACCCCTTCCAAGTTCTCCCATCAGGTGTTTTGTCACAGCACGAGAA